CCCCCAGACGCAGCACCCCCAGGCTCAGCACCCCCAGACGCAGCACCCCCACGCGTAGCACCCCCAGGCTCAGCACCCCCAGGCGCAGCACCCCCAGAGTCAGCACCCCCAGGCTCAGCACCCCCAGAGTCAGCACCCCCAGACCCAGCACCCGCAGGCTCAGCACCCCTAGCAGCACCAGAGTCAACAGCTACCTCGACAGGGTCGACTGCGTCTACCTGAGACACACCTGAGGGGGCAGGACCCTGAGGGGGGAGGGGGTCTACCGGAGGGGGACCTGGCGTAAGGAAGAGCGGCGGGGGGGGGAGGGACGCAGTGCGGTAGGGGAAGAGACGGTAGTAGGGAACCGACTCGTCAAACGTGACGTCCTGGGAGGACAGAACACGGCGCGAGGTGGGGTGGTAGAACTGCCAGCCCGGCGCGTCAGGGGGGAAGCCAAGGAAGACGCAGGGAACAGCACGAGGGGACAGCTTGTCCGCAGACAAGTCGCGGACAAACGCCCGAGATCCCCAGACACGGAACGCAGACGCATCGCCAACCTTCCCCGTCCACAGCAAAGCAGGGGAGGTCTCCGGCATGGAGACCCGGGGCTGAAGGTTGATCTGATGCGCCGCGTACCGAACCGCAAACGGCCACAGAAAATGGGGGGCAGCCGCATGGACCATGGACGTACGAGCGACGTCCATGACCATGCCAATGCGGCGCTCAGAAATTCCATTTTGCTGCGGAGAGTCCGCAAGCGTGAAGGTCTGGCGGATGCCTCGTGCACGACAGAAGGCTCGCAGAAGGTCAGAGGAGAACTCTCCGCCTCTGTCAGAGTGCAGACGCAGAACAGGAAAGTCCGAGCCGAAACTCTCTCTGAGCTGGAGACGAGCTGCGCGGATCCAGGCGATCAACACCTCAGTGACCTCACCCTTGCTGCGCAAGGGGAAGACTGCGGTGTAACGCGAGTAGTCGTCAACCACCAGCAGGAAGTAACGCTCGTGACCCTGTCCACGGACGCGGGCTGGGCCCCACACGTCCATGTGAAGCGTCTGCAGCGGAGCCTATGTCGGAGGAAACTCGTAGGAGTGAGGAGCAGCGCGCTGCCGCCCCTCGACGCAGGGAACGCAGGTGGGGGCAGGCCCCGGAGGAAGGGGAGGGAGGGACCGGGGGAGACCAGAGACAAGGACACGGGAGGCCATGCCTCGAAGACGAGGCAGGGAGGGGTGACCAAGGCGGTGGTGCCAGAGGAGAGTCTGGTGAGACAGGAGACGACACGAGCAGGGGGCAGACTCAGGACCAGACCTGGACGCCGCAGCAAACACCTGACCCGACGTGGCTACCTGAGCAGACTCAGCGACCGGAGGAGACTCAGTAGTCAGTGTGTACAGGCTCGACCTCGGCTGACGGGTAAACGTGGCCAAGTGACGGCCCGTCCGAGCACAGGTACAGTGGGTCACTCGCTGACTCGCAGGAGTGAACTTGTGAACCCCTCCATCCTGGAGGTCAGCACCACTCACCCAGTTCGTAGAGAACGAGGGGAGGTAAAGACCCGACAGGGTGCCAGAAGGGGCCGCCGGACACGGTAGAACAGTGGAGAAGTGGGCAAGGATAGGACCCCCAGAGGGGTCTGCCAGGGAGACTGCCACTGGCCGACTAAGCGGCGTAAGCGTGGTGCGGTCTCGAAAGAAGGAGCGGGAAGCACCCGAGTCAAGGGTGAAGGTGTGGGTGGCCGGAGCCGACGCGGTACCTGAGAGCGCAGACTCACCAGCACCTGGGGCAGCAGGCTCACTGGCACCTAGAGCAGCAGCCTCACCAGCACCTAGAGCAGCAGCCTCAATGCCCGGGTCAGGCGGAAAACACCGGTAACAGTCACCCTCATCACTAATAGTCACAGTATACATTGCAGCAAGAATAGCATCATAATCAAGATCAAAGATCGCAACACCCGCCCTAAACAGCTCGCCCCAGCGAGGGATCTCAGTAGCGTTGGGGAACTGATGACGCCAAGCGTCCGTCAGGCGGCCGAAGCAGCGCTGGGTGGAGTGCGGACCCCCACACTGCTCACCCGTGCAGTCGCCTGTACGTAGAACGTAGGTACAGGGGCCAGCACCCCCACCCCGCTGACGAGCAGTGTACCACTCACGAAGCTGCTGGGGGGAAGGGGTCTCACGAGTGCGCTGCTGCTGCTGCTGCTGGCGCTGACCACCACCGGAGCCGACCCTCTGCGAAGAGCCGCCCCGACCAGCTCCACCTCCGCCGCCGCTACCTCCACCACCGCCTCCACCTCCACCACCTCCGCTCACACCGCCACCACCGCCGCCTCCTCCGCCTCCACTGCCGCCACTAGTGCCCCCACTCCCGCCACCACTCCCACCGCCACCCCCACCCCCTCCGCCGCCTCCACCGCCGCCTCCACCGCCCCCGCCAGCTCCTCCAGCGCCCTTGCCCCCCTTGCCCTTGCCTGAGCGGCGTCTCCCGCTAGGGGCAGACGCCGCGCCGACCGACTCAAGACCAACGAGGTCGGCCGCAGCAGCAGAGGCAACAGAGGGCAAGAGGGGGGAGGGGGAGCACCCCTCAAAGACAGGGGTACGAGGGTCACCACGAGAGGCTCCTACAGCGACTATACTCTTTTCTGCTGCTAGGAGGCGCTCCTCGAGGAGGTCAACAGTGAGGGTGGTGGGGCAGACAGAGAGGAAGTGGTCCCTGACCGAGCGAAGGGTGTCAGGGAGCCGGGTGACTATGTAGTAGAGGGTGATGTACATAGGGGGGGGGTTCTTGGCGCAGAACTCAGCAGGAAGCGCAGCGCGGTAGCGAATGTCACTAGTGCGAAGGTGCGTAATGAGGTCAGCGACTGTGGGAAAAGCGGCGAGGTCAGGGAAGAGGTACGGCAGTATGAGGCGGCTAAGGGCAGCAGTGGCAGGGGAAGAGTAGCGTGCAACGACAGCGTCGTACAAGGTCTTAGCACTCTTGTACTGACTAAAATGCGCGCGCTCAGCGGTCGGTAAGTGGCGGCGCACAGCAAGGCGAGCAGCAGCATCGCGCGTGGCCCACTGTGAGCGAACAGTGGCGTCAGCATCAGCAGCAGGGGCAGGAGAGGCACCAGAGGTGAGGTCAAACAGAGAGAGACCGTCTGCCCTATCGCACCGTAGGAAAAGCTGCAGATCATCTACCCAGACCTCAAAGTCAACAGCCCGACCCTCAGCGTCAAAGGTGAGAACACTGGGGTGGCCATGACAGCAGTAGACTGGCAGAGAGAGCAGCGGGGTAGGGCAGTGCAGTGGCAGAGGCGCTGCTCTTACCAGGCAGGTGGGGCGGGCCGAGGCAGGCTGGCAGGGACAGGGCCGCGACTGCAGGGACTGCGGCGTCTCGGCTGCGGCGGCGTGGGGGCTCGGCGGCTCGGCGGCTCGGTGGCTCGGCTGCAGGGCGGCTCGGCGGCTCGGCGGCTCGGCAGCTCGGCGGCTCGGCAGTTCGGCGGCTCGGCGGCTCGGCAGCTCGGCGGCTCGGCGGCTCGGCGGATCGGCGGTGGCGGCGGCTCGGCTGCTCGACGGGGCCGGGAAGGGCGGCTGAGGGGCCGAGGAAGGGCGGCAGGGCCGCGAAGGGCGGCGACGGGGCCGCAAGGGGCGGCAACGAGGCCGCTGAAGGGCGGCGACGAGGCCGCTGAGGGGCGGCGACGGGGCCGCTGAAGGGCGGCGACGAGGCCGCGAAAGGGCGGCGACGGGGCTGCGGAAGGGCGGCAATGGGGCCGCTGAAGGGCGGCGACGGGGCCGCGGAGGGGCGGCGACGTGGCCGCTGAAGGGCAGCGACGAGGCCGTAAGGGGCGGTCGCGGGGCCGCTGAAGGGCGGCGACGAGGCCGTAAGGGGCGGTCGCGGGGCCATGAGGGGCGGCGACGGGGCCGTAAGGGGCGGTCGCGGGGCCGTGAGGGGCGGCGACGGGGCCGTAAGGGGCGGTCGCGGGGCCGTAAGAGGCGGTCGCGGGGCCGTAAGGGGCGGCGACGGGGCCGCTAAGGAGCCACGCGGGGCCTAGAGAGGGCAGCGACGGGGCCTGAGGGGCCGCTAAGAAGGGCGCGACGGGTCGCTAAGGGCGGGACACTAGGCGCGCTTCGGGCAGGGGCGGCACGCGCCCCGGGTAGGAAAAAAAATCTTGGTGGGCCCTAGGAACAGTTCCCACGAGGGAACCTGCTCGATACCATGAGAAACTTAGAACGAGAATGAATTGACTAAGGAATGAAAGTGATACAAATATGAAACCCTAGAATTGTGTACCCCTTAGTATCTAACCCGCTACAGCCTACACAGGCTAGATCATATAAGTTTGACACTTCGGCCTTTCCTTTGCCCAACCTGCACCCAACCTCGTGTTCCCGAGGTTCCCGCCTAGCTAGGTTGACCCACTATATTAGCGCGTGCCTTCATTGTATTGTCAGTTCATTGAGTCACATCTTCGTTATTCGTTATTCCGCGCACTCTCTTTTACAACTCATAACAGTTGATAAGAGAAGTAACCGCTGGAGGTTACGCGAAGGTCAAAGGTCAGCGACCTTTGACAAATACAGCGCGACAACAAGGACAAACAACTGACTCGGTACTGAGCAGTTGCCCGAGTTGTCACTGTATCGAACCGCAACAGCAACAGTAAAACAGTTATTAGTTGCACCCTTTCATATTCCTTATAATCTTATAAAAGCTTGTATTACCGTATTCTCCCGGATATAGGACCCTCCCAAAAAAAAGACCCCCGGGACTTTTGAACGGTACTGGGACTCTTAATATGTAGCATATGTGAGAGGACCCCCCCTAAGCCTATAATCAGTATAAGACCCCCCCCCTTCCCCTAGGGGAGGGGATTCTGTTGAAGAAACAATTGCTCAACAGTTTAGAATTAATACTGCACTTGGATCCACACTAGACACGATGTGAAGGCATGGAACGAGTCAATACTACGATACATCAAGCAACACAGTCATACACATCTACGGTCCGGCTTAGCTAACCTTTCTCTTGCACCCCCCTATTCCCTACTCCACCTCGTCCTCCTCCACGTCTCCCCACTCTGCCTCCCCCTCGATCTCCTCCTCCTCCTCCTCCGCCTCCATCTCGGCCTCCTCCTCCTCCTCCTCCTCCTCCTCCTCCTCCTCCTCCTCCTCCTCCTCCTCCTCCTCCTCCTCCTCCTCCTCGGGCATGTCCCCACAGTCCTCGTCGTCCGCCTCCCGGGCAGCTTCCTCGTCGTCAGCAGTCGTGGTGTAGAGGGGGTTGACCCACTCATCCACCAAGGGGGAGGAGTGGACGTCCTCTCCCACCTCGACCTGGCCAGCATCCCGCATGTGCGCCAGGACGAGGTGATCCTGGCTGCCGTCAATGGCGTTGCTGATGCCGGTGGTCAGGAACGCCTTGACGATGATGTGCTCCGGCACGTCGCTCCATGACAAGGCGATCCACTTCAGCACCGTCTCAGCAGGGGGCCTCTTCAGGTTCCCTGCAAGGTCGACCAATGCACACAGAGTCGAGTGAGTGTGTTTATTGTGTCAACATGTGCTCTCACTTTGTTACGGTTTAGAACCCTTAAGGTAGACGCACCTGCGGGGGTGAAGCTGTTCACCCCTTCATCGGCGAACCAGTCGTTGTAGAACGTGCGCAGTCCCGCCTTGAAGGAGCGGTTGATGCTCACGTCAAGGGGCTGCAGCAGGGGCGTGCACCCCCTCGGGATGATGGCGGGGATCACACGGTGCCACCTGAGCTTCGCAAGAACGCCGTCCGTGATGTGTCCACGGTAGGAGTCCAAGACCAGGAGGGTCTTGGACCGACGGATGCCACGAGGCGGCTTGATGAAGGGGAGAAGGACGCTGTTAACCCAGTCGTCGACGAGTTTGCCGTCCATCCACCCCTTCTCATGAGCGCGGATGATGACACCTGCATACGAGAAACACGCAAGTGCACGGGGAGATTGTTAAACGTACTAAGTTATCACCCACCGCGGCTTCAGGGCCAATACGAAAATTACCTGGCAGAACGCGCATCTTAGGGATGGTCTTGCGCTTGAAAATGACCATCGCTGGGAGCTTGCGTCCGTCCGCCGTGACGCCCAGCATCACGGTCACCCGTTGCTTCTCGTACCCCGCGCTACGAACGTGCACAGACTTCTCGCCGCGGTGGTGAAGAGTCCGGTCGCACGGCATCTCCAAGAACACAGGGGTCTGGTCCGCGTTTATGACGTTCCACGTGTCGATGCTCCACTTGATGACGTTCCGCCGTACGAACTCCCAGAAAGACTCGCATTTGGGCTTGCAATCTGCAAACGAAAAAAAAAAAAAAAAAAAAAAAAAAAAAAAAAAAAAAACCCGGTAAACGAAGTGACTCACCCAGGTAAACAGCGGGAGGCGGCTTATACACTAACACGGAGGGTCAATGAGTCGCGAAGCAAATTATACATACCCTTCGCGAGGCGCTGCCCGATCTTCGTCTTCACACGGATGGCGAGGCCCCACCGTGCACGGAAGCGAAACGTCCAGCGCGCGGAGGCCATTCAAGCGACGTCCGGGTGGTGGTGCTTCATGAACGTCCTGCTCCACTGCCTGATGAGCTTGATCGGGACCGCTAACCCCCTGCCGCGGAAGTTCATGAGCTTCTTGTACACGGCCTGTCGGGGTATTTCGCCCGCCGACCGCCACCCTTCAGCCGACGCCTGCACGGTGCAGCCTTTTCGATCTCCTGCGCGATCCTCAGCCAACGGCGGACGCTGATTGGCTGAACCCCTGCAAGACGGGCCGTGTGACGAATTGACAGATTCTCGTCTTTCATCAACAGAAGCCACTGCCACTTCTCACCCATGGTGCGCGCCGTGCGACGGTGCGTACTCTTGCGAGAACGCGGACTTGCAGGCGCGGCGTCCTTCGTTGCCTCGGGACCACCTTCATCGTGGACGAGGTCTTCGGGTAAGGTGGGGATGGGGAAGTCGCCAACACCGTCGGTCTCATCGCGGTTTTCGCTGACGTCTTCTGGCGCGGGAAAGCCCTCCTCGTCCGGGGGCTCGAAGAGAGGCCGGTCCTGGTGGGAAACGAAACCCGGGGGAAACACGGGTGGCGCAGGCGGCGCCGGTGGAGCAGGCGGGGCAGGAGGTGCGGGAGGCGCAGGTGGTGCTGGCGGACGCGGGCTAGTAATCAGAACGATGGCCGGCCGCGATGAAGTCGGCGAGGCACGGCGCGTACGCCAAGGGATTTCGAAAGCGGACATGGTGGAACAATATTGCTAAACTATCGTACTTGGGCCGCATGACGACCTACTGGCGCCATGAGCCGTTCTTTGTAGTGCGGCTGAGCTAACGAAGTGAATCAGAAGCAATAGACACAGCGTTGGGGTACGATGTGATAAGCTCGGCTGCCTGCTGGAGTTGTGAGGGATCTGTTCCGCACCACGTCCAGAGCCTGTCCCTCGCTCTGTCGCTAAAGGAACAGACGTGATGCAAAGGGGGGGGGGGAGGAGTCTGGATGTGGGCACCTGAGGGAACCGCACAGTCAAGATGCTGTGCGGCTCACCTCGAATGGTGTGATTTCCGCCGTCGTGCCTAGTTGGACGATGCGTGTCACACGCGATATGAGGTTCGGAGTGCTGTAAGCGGTGGATTTGGACGTGCAAAATAAAAGTCCCCCCCCCCCCCCCCCCAAAAAAACGAATGGTACACCCTAAATCGCATAACTTTACTTGATTAATAAGTGTACCCGGGTCCTATACAACTCGTTCCGATTAAATGTTCACCCTAACCAATTTGCCTCTATTTTAGGAAAGTCCCCCGGGTCTTATATCCGGGAGAATACGGTATTTCTATAATCAATCTATCTTGCCCTCACATACCAGCGCAAGGTGGTTCAACACTTGTTACCGTACCAAACACTTCCGCAAATACAACACTTCAACTCAGAGTTTAGCCTTGAAAAGATCCTAAGGGCTTTTCTCAGCCCAACACTGTTTCTCCCTATCTCTCCCATTGTAGCCATGGATGAAGCACTCCCTTTGTACCGTACTTCCGAGCAGCAGAGACCGGGCACAAGATAGTTGTCGCTGTGGTTCAGTCATCTAGTGTTCAAGTCACTGAAGAGACAATGTTGTTAGAAATGGACTAGAATACCAAATACACTGAAGATGTTCGAATTTCTTGCCGTCCACAACCGTGCATGCCCAAATGATTTTGGGCGCCTCAAGAAGTAGAATCCAGAGATGAGCCCAATACAGAGGCACAGGAGCGTGAGACCCAGATTGCATGCCGTCTACTTGACAGTGGCGTTCACAATGGTGGATGTGCACGGCCCTGCTGTCGTCATCATGGGCGTGTCCTGGAACATGGCCACCCCCGTGCCGTCCGTGCGCAGAAACTGACGTGCACGGGAGGGGGAAAGGTTGCACAGGAGGGGAAGCAAAGAAGGGAGGAACAAAAGATTGTCGTCATCATGGGCGTGTCCTGGAACATGGCCACCCCCGTGCCGTCCGTGCGCAGAAACTGGAGGGGCGCACAAGGGGCGGGGGTTGGGGGCCAAGGGGGGATCAGAGGGGGCAAGTTAGGGCTGAGGGGGGGAATGCGACCAAGTGGGGCACTGGAAAGTGGGTATGGAGAGTTAGGAGGGAGCAACGACATGCAAGCAAGGGGACACGAGAAGGCACAGAGCAGGGAGACACATGTCTGCAATGGCTGTAGCAGCAGCAAGGCACGCACTGGCTGTAGCTTCTCGAAGAGCTTCTTCTTGGGGTTGAGCACCTCCTCTGCCTTGCCGTCCACTCTGTGTGATGCGGGATTGGACATGTGCAGGTGGGGGAGGTGGGTGGGAGTACAAGGTGGGTGGGGGTATGGAGGATGGGCAGGTGGGGCAGCTTCTCGAAGAGCTTCTTCTTGGGGTTGAGCACCTCCTCTGCCTTGCCGTCCACTCTGTGTGATGCGGGATTGGACATGTTGGGGGGTAGCGTGTGTGGGGCACAAGGAGGGGGTATGGGGGAATGGGCAGGAGGGGCCGCAATGTGGGTGGGGGGCAATGGTGGGTGGGGATAAGAGGGAGGGATGAAGAGGAGGGATGAAAGGAGGAATTCTCGCCAATTGCTGCTACCCCTTGGCCCTAACATTAGCGAGACCCTCCACTTTGCCACTCTTTACTCCCCTCCCTGACCACACCCTGTTGTCCGCCCTTGACTCTCTTCCCCGTTTCCCTATACCACTCTTCCCTCTCGTCTCTCTTTCCTGATTGCCCGCCTTCCCCTTCATCCCCTCTTGCTTTTCTCTTGCTCTACCGTCCATCCTCCCCGCCTCACCCAGCGAACGTGATCTTCTCGCCGATGGCAGCCCCCTCTGGGGGTTGCACGGGGCGGCACACCGTGTGGTCCTCGTTGGACGCACACAGCACCTGCGAGGCACACAGAGGGGTGGAGGGAGCGAAGGCGGGAAGGTGGCATTTGGTGGACTTAAGAGCTCTCGGGTTGTTGCACAGGGCGGAACACGGTGTGGTCCGCGTTAGATGCAGACAGCACTGGAGAACCATGGGGAGTGGAAGGAGGAGTGGGTATGGGGAAGTGGGAAACGGGGTAAAGAGGGGTTGGGGTGGGAGGACTGGGAAAGGTGGGGATCTTGTGATAGCACGAGGGCGGCCGCTGATGGCCCGGAGAAGCAAGAAAATGCATCAAGAACGCATACCAGAATATTGATTAATTAGTGAAGGAAGTTGTGGATGCTTCAAGTACTTCCCCACTCCACAAGATACAGCAGTTTCAGGAGCAAAGGGACGGATAGGCAGTATGCAAAGGGCGTATCCGTTCTTCAACTATTGTCAACAGGACATGGCGGTTTGCAGGAGGAGAGAGAGAGGCTTCATGCACGCACCAGGCCGGCCGATACAACGTCCCTCACTTTCCCCGGCTTCACGTTTGTGAGCACCACCACCCGCATGCCCTGCATGCAGTCACATGCACAGACGCACATGGAGGGACAAGGAAGGGCTGCGGGTCAGTGCTCTGCACTCGCTGCTGTCACTCTCTCTAGTTTCACGCCACCAGCATGCCCCGCTCGCTCACATGGCGAAAACAAAGGACTGCTTGCACAGGACAAATGGAAAGCAGAAGAGAGAAAGAAGGGTAAGTGGATACGATGTCGCTTAGGCTTCCAGCTGACCCACCACCACCACCTTTAGCACCATCACCCCTCTTCTTATCGTTCCCGCTTCTCATCATCAACCCCCCCCCCCCCCTCTTGCCATTATCTTGTCCTGCGTGGCGAACTTGACCAGCCCACTAACGAGCAGCTCACATTGCCTGGCCAGCTCACTTGATGTGCATTCACCCACACCTTGACTCCAGGCTTCTCACCACCATCACCTCTCCCTCTCACCATCACCTCTCCCTCTCACCATCACCTCTCCCTCTCACCACCATCAGCTCTCCCTCTCACCACCATCACCTCTCCCTCTCACCACCATCACCTCTCCCTCTCACCATCATCTCGTCCTCTGTGACGAACTTGGCGAGCCCACTGACCACCTGCCGCACACTGCCCTCGCCCACGTCTATCTCCTCCACGTACAGCCTGCAGAGGAAGAGGGGAGGGAGAGGATGAGAGATGAGGAGAGACATGCATGCAGCAAAGCATGGGCTTGTTGCACGCACTGCCCTCGCCCACGTTTATCTCCTCCACTCCACATACAGCCTGCAGAGGAAGAGGGGAGGGAGACGATGAGAGATGAGTAGAGACATGCATGCAGCAAAGCATGGGTTTGTTGCATGCACTGCCCTCGCCCACGTCTATCTCCTCCACGTATAGTCTGCAGGGGAAGAGTGAAGGGAGAGGAGGAGAGGAGACGAGAGGAGAGGAGAGGCGAGGTGAGGCAAGGCGAGGCGAAGCGAGGAGCGGTGAGGAGCGGAGAGGGGAGGAGAGGGGAGGGGAGGGGAGAGGAGGGGAGGGGCGGGGAGGGGCGGGGCGGGGCGGGGCGGGGCGGGGCGGGGCGGGGCGGGGCGGGGCGGGGCGGGGCGGGGCGGGGCGGGGCGGGGCGGGGCGGGGCGGGGCGGGGCGGGGCGGGGCGGGGCGGGGCGGGGCGGGGCGGGGCGGGGCGGGGCGGGGCGGGGCGGGGCGGGGCGGGGCAAGTAGTGTGAGGAGTGGTGACATGGTACTGCAGCAACAACGTTTCACTACGAATATTTGTTCTTGGCTGGGAGCACGGGGCTGGGGGCAAGAGGCTGGGAGGCTGGGAACAAAAAGGCAGGGAGAAAGGAGCACTTTTGAGAATTCTCAAAAGTGATTCAGATGGAGTGAGAAGCTAGAGGGTGGGAGCAAGAGGTGCTTACGCGTCTGCATTGGGGTGTTTCCACACTTTCTTGATCTGCCCCACTCGTATGTCCAATATCCCCACACTCACATCCGCCCCCTTCCCTCCCCCTGCACCCGCCCCTTCCTTCGCTTCACCCTTCTTCTGCTCCCCCTTGCCCTTCTTCTCGTCCTTCCCCTTCCCCTTGCCTGCCGCGTCACCCTGACAGAAGCAGAGGGAAGTGGGATATGGAAGATGCAATGATATCAAGCTCACATGGTCGGCAGCATGGTCACAATGTGATCGTTTCGTGAGTCACATGGCCTGTTTCCTTCGGCTTCAGTTGCCATCCAACATCCAATGCACTGCGTTGGTAAAGGATTTGCTCGGTGCTCGGTTCAAGGATTTGCGCAACAAGTGTGCTGCAGCATGGCAAGATCCTTTAAGAGTCCCAATAATCACAAAACACGTGCGCTGTATCCCCTTTCCCCCCACTGTGTGCCTCCACAACACGATTTCTTGCAGCAAGGGCAGTTTGGGCTTGCCGAGACACACAACAGACCGCTGAAACACGGCCTTGCCATACCCACAAGCCTCTCATAATCCAAGCACCATAAGGGCGGCTGCACCAGGTAACACCACACACGCTCGTCACCACACACATTCCCTTCACAAATTCGCAAGACTGGGTCAAACACACTCGCCTCTCACCTGTGATGCGGCAGTGGTGGAAGGGGCAGCAGCCGGAGCAGCTGCTGATGATGAAGCTTCTGCCGGGGCTGCAGCTGCCTTCCCTGCTGCTGCTGTGGAAGGCTTGGCACCTCCCGAACCTGATGACTGGCTCGGCTGCGCTGCAGGTTTGGCAGGAAGAGGAACCGGTGCCTGGTATGGTGGAGTCAGAAGAGCATGCCATACATGCCATACATCCCATCCCACACATGCCACACATGCCATACATATCACACATGTCACACATGCCACACATGCCACACATGCCACACATGTCACACATGCCACACATGCCACACATGCCACACATGCCACACATGCCATACATGTCACACATGCCATACATGTCACGCATGCCATACATGTCACACATGCCATACATGTCACACATGCCATGCCATGCAGCACATGGATCACCAACAGCACATGCAAGTGAGCGTCCAATGTTGGTTCAGCCCAAGAGTCCAAAGCAGCGAGTCGGTTTGAAGGGATCCCCATCATGGAAACAGGCCATTCGAAGCCGAGTCGAGTTAAGCGAACGGCAATCTCGAGCACAGCAGAAGAAACCAAGGCAGCAGCAGGATAAAAAAAACACAACACAGTCATTTGCCCTTTAATTTTGCCTGCGTGTGAGCGAGCCGATGCCATGCCTCAATGCTTTTGTGTGCGTGTGGGTGCAGTGCACGCGTGTGTGTCTATGCGCACGCCCGCACAATGCTTATGCGCATGTGAGTGCACATGCATTGATTGAACGCACTCTCAGGCGGGTCGAACTTACCAGTGGTGGCAGTGACAGGTGTGAGAACGCCCGACACTTGCCCCACATGCTCCTCCCTTGCTAGCTACATGTGCGTTGCTTGTATGCTTGCTTCGGTGGGTGTATGCTTGTGTTGTGTACATTTCTGTGTGCAACTATCTACCCTCTCCATGCACACACAGGTGGGTCGAACTTGCCAGTGTTGGCAGTGATGTGCGAGAAGAGAAGGTCTCTCCTACATGCCTTTTGGTTGTTGCATGTGCATCGTATGTGTGCTTGCGTGCATGAACATGTCTGTCTGCATATACCCCCATGCACTCACAGGCGGGTCGAACTTGGCAGTGTTGACGGTAATGTGCGAGAAGGTGTCCCGCACATGTCCCTTGTGCTGCACGAGATCGATCCAGCGCATGAGGTAAGGCAGCTCGTCCCTGTCACACGGCGTCACCAGCAGCTGCGAGGAGAACACACGTGTGAGAGAGGGGAAGGGGAGGGGTGCACAGGCAGGTGAGGGAGGAGGGGAAGGCAGAGAGGCAGAGATTGGTCCCATGTGTGGTGTACATGGCACCGGCTCTTCTCTGCACCAGGCCTCCCCTCGTGGCAGCACTGAGGTGAGGGCTTGACTTGCCATGTGGCATGAAGTGATTGAATGCAGTCACAATGCCTGGAACTTTGATCATCATTTGCATGGCCACTTCTGGGCGGTGTGCTACCACATAGATTGACTTGGGTCTGCATTGTACAAGCATGCGCATGTGTGCACCCACGCCCATGCCCATGCCCACGCACATGCCATCCACTGTGCCGAAGTCATCATTTAACCGCCACGTCATCATGAACTCACCCATCATTATGGATCCTCCACGCCACGTCGCCATTAATCCACCACGTCATCATGAACCCTTATTCTGTTATGTTAGAGTACCTGATCAGCTGCGGCCTGCACGACGTCCACTGCGAGTCTGTCACGTGATGCTCTACGATCCAAAAGTTCACCTTAATCTGTTATGCTAGAATACGCATTGTGCAAGCCCACGCCCATGCCCATGCCTACGCACATGCACATGCACATTCACATACCACCTACTGTTCCCACGTCATCATGACCCCCCACCACGTCATCATGAACCCACCACGTCATCATGAACCCACCACGTCATCATGAACCCACCACGTCATCATGAACGGCACCGAAGACTGCAATGTCAGCCAATGTGATCGCGTCACCTGGCCCCACGAGCACGGAGCGAGGAGTCAGGTAGGCGTTGAGGGCGCGCAGGCGAGGGAGAGGGTCCAACACTGCAGCTGACGTGGACGCTGACGGGCATGCTGACGTGGCAAGGGAGGCCAGGGAACCGACGACCCAGGGATGGCGAAGCCACTGAGTCACCTGTTGGGTGGATGAGGTGTAAATGGAAACAGGTAAAAGATGGACAGATAGAGAGAGGGGCGAATGAAGGTGGTGGAGAGGAAGCATGGCAACTAGGCTTCTGAACTCCAATTCCCCCTTTCCTTCCCAATCTTTCTCAAGCTTTCCATACCGTTTCGTGGCCTTCAAATCACTCTTCTGATGCCCATCCCTGCAGAGTGCGCCATCCGTGCAGAGTGTGCGGCATCCCTACCCCCAGCACACCCATCGCCACTAGAGCATTCCCCGTCTGGCCCCCTTCCACTCCACCCCTTTCCTCACCTCAGCGCGCGCGGCGCCATCCCTCCCCAGCAGCGCATTGGCGGCGTCGCCTCCTGTCGCCAGCGCAAGAGCCGCCCACACTGCTGTAGCGCCCGCTACAGGCTGGCTGCTGGCCGCGCTGATGAGGGAGGGAGCGGCCTGCAGAGGGAAGGGGTGGCGGGAGGGGGGTTTTGACGCGCTTTAAAAGCTGCAGCGCCCGCTACAGTCTGCTTGCTGGCCGCGCTGATGTGGGAGAGAGCGGCCTGCAGACAGAAGGGGTGGCAAGAGGGGACTTCGAAATCGCTTCAAAATCTGTAGCGCCCGTTACTGTCTGCTTGCTGGCCGCACTGATGAGGGAGCGGGCGGCCTAAGGAAGAAACCGGGTGGCGGGGGCAGGGAAAAGGGAAATTTGGAAACGGAGAACGAGGGAATAGGGAGCAAGCAAACGGGGAACGGGTAAAAGGGAGTGAAGGGAACTAAGGGAAGGGAGCAGATGGCCTGTAACAACGGGTACAGTCCTCTGCTCATGGGGCAGAGGGCTGGCTGCAGCGCGAGCGACGGGACCAAAGAAAAAAACGTGCGGCATTGAACATAACTTTTTGTTTTCGTTCCTAACAGGCTGACGTGTAGGCCACCAGAGCGTTCTGATCGTTACGTGTAGGCCATCAGAGCGTTCTGATCGTTACGTGTAGGCCACCAGAGCGTTCTGATCGTATCTTACAGAACCCGGCACTGGGAACCTCACGCAGCTTCTATACTCGCCGACGAACAACGAAAGCCTTCGCATTTCACAAACAAGGCTTGAATCCCCACCTTGTGACACCTCGGCTAGCAAGGGTTATAAAAACACCCTACCCCTCTCGCATGCACCTTAATCTCCGATGGCGAAGTGAGAAAGTGAAAAAATCCAGACGAACCAACGGATCGGCCCAACATGCAGAGGCAGCTAGATGGCTTGACGATCAGCCGCATCGACACGGCCCAAAGCGCTACGGCCAGTACTGGGCGTCTGATCAGTCGGCAGACACTTACGACGTTCGCGTCGCAACCGACTATATGTAACTGCCTTCGTAAACGGTCCGGTGGCACTGGAGGTTCTAAGATCCAGTATTGCATCTTAATCTGTTAAGCTAGAGTACCTGATCGGCAGCGGCTTGCACGACGTCCACTGCGAGTCCGCCACGTGCCTTGCACCAATTGGCCACGGCTATCGCTGTTCTCGACGCTACGTCACTCCCAGCCGTGAGAGTCACTGCCGCGGCGCCTTGCGACTGCTCGGACGGAATCCCCATTGCAAGCGGTTTTGGCGGGACTAAAAGCCTTGCTATCAGCCTGAGCAGGGCAGAATTCAGAAAATGGAATCGAGTGTCTTCACAGTAATAATAGTGGGTGGGGTGGGAACTGAAGTTGTCGTCGTCACAGTAAAACTCGGTTTAACGAATACAGATGTTTATACGTTGTTTGTTGTAGAGATTTGTAGTGAGGTGTACCCGGGGAAATGTTTGTCTCAATGTGGCTCCATGAGGTGTATTACGCTGTACAACGGTCTATGTAATATTTAGGGCGGGTCTAACTTTGCACATGTACGGAAAATTTTCAGCTCAGTTACCAAAATGAAGCATGTAACAGAACTTTTTACGTACGAAATCAGTTTGACGCGAGACTGTACATAAATGAGCTCATTTCAGAAACGCGCCCCGGGACGTGCGGGAACACATCCGAAGGTTCGTCTTCCAAATCGCTTCCTGTCCAATTCGTCAAACAGTAACGCCCGTTTATCGCCAGAACCGTTTCGCCATAATTTTACTCCTTTCGCCCTAGATGCGGAAACCCTCGCAACATTTGGTAACTCCCTTCCCAGATGCTGTGCCTCGCAACGTTAATGCACCTCGTCAAAAGTCCGCACTGAACACTCCGAACTGGACAGGAAACGTTAGGACTACTCCCTGGGGTACAGTCAAAATTGACAAGTGTGTTGACGTAAAAATAACGAAAATAACGGGAGTGTGCAAAGTTGGACCCGCCCTTACAAAGGTTGGGTATGGCAATGAGCGAAGATCTTTTGGAAGTTCATGCCACGCCAAGTCTATGTGCATTGGGCTTCTGCTGTTGGGCAGAGGTTGCGACGGGTATGACGCGCGTGATTTCCGCAACCTGACTGGATGAAGTGGATTACGTCATTTTCCATTGTCGCCACTAGGCAAACCCCACTGCTGGCCAAGGGAATAGTTTGACCGAGGCGCCTCTGGGAATGAATTCCCAAGGCGAGGTGGAATAGTGACGACGAAACGACCCTGAGCGTCATTCCCCAACGGGTCGAATCGAATCGCGAGTCGCGACATTCCCAGGACATGCGACGTGTCCTCGTCCGTCAAGTGGATGCAGCTGCAGCTGCGTTCTGTACGTCCGATCAATCAGTGCACCTTATCGAACGGCTTAGCGGGACCAAACGAATCAAGCCTTCGTATGGGCTCACCAGGGTTGGACGGGCATGGGTGGAATTCCTACTACCGCCCGGCGAATCGAATCTTGGGAATTGCTGCCCGGTTGCAGGAAGCGTTTCTGTTCCTTGGCGCGGAGCGGCGCGTCTTACGAGACCTGTCACTCTTATCTCGTACCGACAGTATTAGTCACATATCATCGCATGCGAATTCGTTACGCGGATGGTCGTCGCCACTGGCGGTGTTACCAGGGGCGATGGACAGCGTTCGCGAGCTAAGCACTCCGTTTTTCGAGGGAAGATTCTCGCTGGCCGGCCCTGCACAACCCCTGCAAGCATGCTCACCAAAACTCAAAACGTCAGGCGAACTTTCCCAGACGACATTCGCCGAGCGTTGTCCCCCTGCAAGGAAAGAGACTGAAAAACACACCCGCAAACTTCGGAGCTGGAAGAAGGAAAGCGGGATTAATGATCCGTGGCAGATTCCTGGATCGCAGAAACCACTTTCCACATCAGCCTGCATCTCATGGCTTCGTTGGACAACGGGAATCTGGAATTCCAGGACCCCTTCTTCTCCCTCCCCGCCTTCGGGTGCTTCTTCTCTGACAGTGCAGCGGCAGCCGCTGGGTACCACTACTCCAACCCTCAAGCACTCGCAGGCGAGAAGCATGCGCGGGAAACGCTTGAGAGCGAAACATTAGAGACCGGAACGCTTGAGCAGCAGACGCATGAGGAGAGGCAGAGGCATGAGAATCTCGAGAGGGAGACGCACGCGAGGGAGAGGCGTGAGAGGGAGACGCATGAAAGGGAGATGCGTGAGAGGGAGAGTCGGTCGTCAATGTCGAACAAGAAGAGCCGCCTGAGACAGCAGTCAGCCATTCTGCAGCGACGAGGTGAGGCCGCTCCGCTCACCCTCCTCCGCACTTCCTCCTCTTGGAGGCACCCTTGGGTTGGGTGTGTCTGACACCAGCCCTTCTGTTCTTTCTGTCATGCTGTAATTACCAAGAGAGCAATGAGGTGTGTTGAGACCAGCGATTCTGCTCTTTCATGTTGCATTTGCCGTAATCTGTTGGCTGTGTGGACATCAGCTCCTGCTATGTCATAGTGCGACCACCATGACCTGTTGGCTGTGCTGAAACCACGTTTTCATGTCAGCCATTGTTCGCTACTATCAGTACACCTCATGGTCGCTCCACCAATCCATTCCACGACCAGGACGCAATGCGGACGCCGCTCGAGACCTCCCTCCTCCTGCCACTGCTGCAACTGCCAACACGGCTGCCACTGCCGGCACTCAGGGCGGGTCTGGCAGTCTAAGTGGTGCTGTCCCTCCAGCGACTGAGGGGAAGGCTGCAACAAGGCAGCGGGGAGGCACCGTGAGCAGCCAGAGGAGCTCCATCTACCGCGGAGTCACAAGGTGGGGGCTCTCGTCTGGTATACCCCTCCATCCAGCACTTTCCTCCCATGTAAAGCACGTGTGAAGGTTATAGCCGATTCTGCAAAAGACGGTTTGTCGTTCACTGGGACTCATCGCCTCGTTTCCCGATGAAAATCCAGTGTTGAGGCGCCTGGAAACCGAGACACTTAGTGTCAGTGGCTTTCACTGTTGCAACACGTGTCTGTCTGTTTCTTGGCAGACATCCCTCGACATGGCACTATGAGGCTCACCTGCGGGATAATTTGTGTTGCAGGGGGGCAAGGTGTATTCTGAGTCAACTCAAAACATGGCTATCTCTGTCGGAATGCATGGCTATGTGTGTGCTGGCAGGCACCGCTGGACTGGACGCTATGAGGCTCACCTGTGGGATAACTCGTGCCCCAAGGAGGGCACCAACAAGCGAGGCCGCCAAGGTGCATCCGCTCTTGTAGTTTGTTCGTTCTTGTGATCTAGTCAGTGCCATAACCTTTATCCGAGCCTCACACAGTTTACTAATGGACGTTGTGCTGACTGCCTGTGTCTGCCCTGCAGTCTACTTGGGTACGTACTCTGCCTCTCTGAATGACACACTCCAGTGATACATCAACTTCCATTCCATCTAGAAGATCTCTTTCAGCAAAATGAGTGTGACGAGGCTCGCCGTGTTGCAAGTGCAGGAGGGTATGACGATGATGAAACGGCTGCGCGGGCGTACGACCTTGCTGCTCTCAAGTACTGGGGCCCCACCGCTGCTACCAACTTCCCTGTACGTCACACGACTGGTGTGACTGCTTAGCTCAAGCTCATGTAAATCCCCCCTCACTGTACACGACATGCCGCACTCAAGTATTGGGGTCCCCCAGCTGCTGCCAGCTTCTCTGTACGTCACACACATGACAGGTTTGCAACAGAAGTCCCATGCTGTTCCTTTACCGCAACCAGCATTGCTGCACGGGGGTGTGATGCCAGACATATTGAGCTTCCCTTCGTTTCGCATGTCTGGGTACTCGACCCGTTTACGCCCATTTCGTTCTCCTAGTACCCAGATATTCATATTTCTCACTCTCTCTCCCCACCCGTCCTTGTCTCCCTGTCTTCCCTCTCATGTGCATTCTCTCCTCCTAACCCTATCACATCCGTGTTCGACCTACTGGTTCTCCCAGGTTGAGAACTACGAGAGGGAGTTGAGAGAGATGGAGGGGGTTTCCAAGTACGAGTATGTCGCTTCCATCCGCAGGTATGTAATGTCACGTGCTCCATGTCCTCCGTGTTCCTTGCTGCATGCCCTATGCTCCATGCACTTTCACGCACGTCCCTTGTGCTCCAATAGCGAAGGACTTAAAAAAGAGCAGCACAGCAAAGCGATCACCTGACACGTCCATGGGAAGGGGCTTGTAGCGGTGGTCATGGGGGGGGGGTTTGGAAGATGTCCGGCCAAAGGCAGACATCTTATTGCCCTAGCTGATGGGCAGTTCTTTGGGAGATCAGGGTTCGATTCCCAGACTGGGTGCAAGTTTGGCGCCAGAGGCCTAGGGTACTCCTGAAAGCAGGGGTGTGTGTGCAGTGCCAGGGGCGGTGGGTTCCCGCGGAAAGGCCCACAGTGAAAGACCACTAGAGTAGCATGCTGAGGCTGGCAAGGGGGAGTGCGAGTTGATCCGAGTCGTGCCATGTCTTGCGGTTGCGGCTGTGATGTGATGTGAGTAGTGCATTGTGTCCACCACACCAGGGAGAAGCCACGATGGCAGACACTGCTCATTTCGTGTTACCACTATCTGTGCTGTGCTGCCTCTCTGTGCGTGCCTGGGAGTGCAGGAAGAGCTGTGGATTCTCCAGAGGGGCTTCCAAGTACCGCGGAGTCACCAGGTGCGTGCAAAGCAATCTCTGAGTCGACCAAATAGACACCAGGCGCGTGCAAGCAGCCAGGAGTCACCAGGTGTGTTACAGGCTGTGGAAATCAAGTAGGGGTCAGAGTCACTGGGTACAGCAAGTACGGTTCAGTGGAGAAGGCAGGGGCCTGGACGAGGTATACACAGATTGTGGAAGCTGGTGGGGATTGCTTTGTTTTGCCCGCTTTGCTGGTGCTGTTCTTCAATAACACCCGCCCGCCCTCCCCTTGCCTGTGGTGCAGGCACCATCAGCACGGGCGGTGGGAGGCGCGCATAGGGCGAGTCATGGGCAACAAGTACCTCTACCTGGGGACGTTTGGTGAGTGCTGTGTGGGGGGGGGTGAGTGGGGGGAGTGATGTGGGTGAGTGGGAGTGGTGTGCGAAGGTGAGGAGACTCTAAAGGGCAACAAGTACATCCAGCTGCTGACTTTCGGTGAGAGGGGAGTGGAGAGTGTGGTGAGCAGTGTGTGAAGAATGGTGGGTGCGGAGTGCTGTATGGTTAGTGGGGTGTGTGGTGTGATGTCTGGTTCTGGGATCCCTGTGGCATGCCTTGATGTTTCCGTATGTTGCCTGCAGCCACACAGGAGGAGGCAGCAGAAACATACGATATAGCCGCAGTCAAGTACCGAGGGCTCAATGCGGTTACCAGCATTAGCCTGCCACCCTCATCATAAGTCTTCATTTCATCGCTCGATGTGTACGTGCAGCCACGCAGGAGGAGGCAGCAGAGGCATACGACATAGCAGCAGTGAAGTACCGAGGGCTCAATGCAGTTACCAACTTTGACCTCAGCCGCTACATCGATGGGCTCAGCTCTCAAGCGGATGACCCTCAACTAGCGGAGGTAATATCACAAAATGGCCATTTACACGTTTCTTTTTTGTAAGCGCATGTCAAGCTTATACTGAAAACGGGGAGTTTTTGTTGAGTGATTTATATTCTACAGGAACCCGTGAAGGCGGATTCTGCAGTGCAGCAGGCGATCTCGGACCCGGTTCCCCAGTTCCTGCCATTCCAGAGTGACCATGCAGCTGTGTGCTTCACTCAAGCAGCATCAGTTGACCTCAGCGCTCCCCTACCCCTGCCCATGCATTCAGCGCACATGCTGTCAGCAGGCACACCGAACATGGTACGTTCGTTCACATCATTGAATACATTACTTAATTAGTCATGCATTTGTTTCTGTCCTCTGGTGAAGAGACAGTGTGCATGTGCCGTGACTGGTGAGGTATATGACTGATGAGTGCTGTGCATGCATTGGGGATGGGCATGACAGGTGCCATTGTACAGCCAGCAGAGCATAGAGGTGGACCAGCAGCATCACGATGGACAGCCGCTCCCAAGCTTTGCTGCTTGGTACGACGACCTCAGCTCCGACATTGGCTAGACCATGCAGCTGCTTTTATCACTTCCATGAATCCTTGAAAGTGCACAAGCATAGCCAAGCTTCGCTGCTTGGTACAATGTCCTGGCCTCCGATATTGGCTAGATGATGCTGCTGCGGTTGCTTTTATCTGGTGTGCACCAACCGGCACACTTTGTTTTGAGTTTCAGTACGAAGTGAAAGCCTGTACAAGCAAGCATGTCGCGTGTAAGTAATGTTGGAGAATTGGCTACTGTGGAAAATGCATGTATGTATGGTACTCAAATTGGTATTCAGATGGGCAAGTAAGCAGGTCTGGGCAATGTTTAGCCTGCAACTAGCATGTATGTGCTCAAAATGAATCAGAATTAGCAGAATATGGCTGAACCTGATAGTCAGTAAGACAGCTCCAGCCGACCTGTTAACTCTGATTAGAAGCGCTAGCCTCTTTCCCACTAGTAACGAACGGCCGAGGCCGTCAATATGAGAGCGATGACAGAACCAACCCTGCATGTGCCTCGCTCGCAGCGCGGCAACTTCAGGCTCGTTGCTCAGCAGCAACAACACGGTACCAGTAGGTTCCTCGATCCACGAAGCACCTGTTTTACTTTCTACAGCAGAATTTGCTCCCTCAACCACTACAATCCCAGGAGCAAGGGTTTAGATTACCGTAGCCACCGCGTTCTCGCCAAGATAGCCCTTCTCGTATTTTCCTTATCGTCCTGACATTAAGCTTCTAAATATTCTCGTACTACCATTCCGCCTCCGTCGCTTGCTGCGCTTCCCCGCGAGCCGCCGTTTAAGCCGCAATCATGGCGCCGCGGCCGCCCCCCAGTGGCAGTGCGGGTCCGCGCAGTCCGCGCGCGGATGACGGGATAGAACCAGCGCATGCGCGAGACGACCTGATAAAATTCGCGGATCCTCCGCATCCGGAGGCGATCAATTTCTCTGCGGCAGCGGCGGCGACAGCGGCGGAGGAGTTTTATGAAGAAGTGGAGGAAGGGGAGGAGGATGACGGGAGTGAGTTTCTGGAGCGCGCGCGGAGCCACCAGGAGGCGGAGGACGAGCGCGCGTACGAGCCGGAGGAGCAGATCGACGTGTCGCGTTACAGCCTGCCGCTACAGACGCCGGGCGGCAAGGAGGGTGAGGGGCTGGGCGGCTGACACTGGTTGGTGCGCCATAGCCCTCCATCTCCCCTCCCCCCCATTGCTTTCCCATCCCCCTGCCCGGCCCTCCCCCTGCTCCGCTCTCCCGTCCCCCTGCTCCCCCTTCCTATGCGCCTGGACCCACTACACCCCCATACAGACACGTGTCGCTTCTTGTACCCTTTTCCGTGCACCCACCTGCTACACCCCATCCCCCATACAGACACGTTCCGGTTCTCGTGGCGGCGCTTCTGCATCTTCGTGGGGCCGGGCTTCCTCATGAGCATCGCTTACCTGGACCCCGGCAACCTCGAGAGTGATTTGCAGGTGAGAGGGCAAGTGCGGGGGGCCAATGAAGTGGTTTCCTCTTGAGCATCGCTTACCTGGACCCCGGCAACCTCGAGAGTGATTTGCAGGTGAGAGGGCAAGTGAGGGGGGCCAATGAAGTGGCTTCCTCTTGAGCATCGCTTACCTGGACCCCGGCAACCTCGAGAGTGATTTGCAGGTGAGAGGGCAAGTGAGGGGGGCCAATGAAGTGGTTTCCTCTTGAGCATCGCTTACCTGGACCCCGGCAACCTCGAGAGTGATTTGCAGGTGAGAGGGCAAGTGAGGGGGGCCAATGAAGTGGTTTCTTCTTGAGCATCGCTTACCTGGACCCCGGCAACCTCGAGAGTGATTTGCAGGTGAGAGGGCAAGTGAGGGGGGCCAATGAAGTGGTTTCCTCTTGAGCATCGCTTACCTGGACCCCGGCAACCTCGAGAGTGATTTGCAGGTGAGAGGGCAAGTGAGGGGGGCCAATGAAGTGGTTTCCTCTTGAGCATCGCTTACCTGGACCCCGGCAACCTCGAGAGTGATTTGCAGGTGAGAGGGCAAGTGAGGGGGGCCAATGAAGTGGTTTCCTCTTGAGCATCGCTTACCTGGACCCCGGCAACCTCGAGAGTGATTTGCAGGTGAGAGGGCAAGTGAGGGGGGCCAATGAAGTGGTTTCCTCTTGAGCATCGCTTACCTGGACCCCGGCAACCTCGAGAGTGATTTGCAGGTGAGAGGGCAAGTGAGGGGGGCCAATGAAGTGGTTTCCTCATGAGCATCGCTTACCTGGACCCCGGCAACCTCGAGAGTGATTTGCAGGTGAGAGGGCAAGTGAGGGGGGCCAATGAAGTGGTTTCCTCTTGAGCATCGCTTACCTGGACCCCGGCAACCTCGAGAGTGATTTGCAGGTGAGAGGGCAAGTGAGGGGGGCCAATGAAGTGGTTTCCTCATGAGCATCGCTTACCTGGACCCCGGCAACCTCGAGAGTGATTTGCAGGTGAGAGGGCAAGTGAGGGGGGCCAATGAAGTGGTTTCCTCTTGAGCATCGCTTACCTGGACCCCGGCAACCTCGAGAGTGATTTGCAGGTGAGAGGGCAAGTGAGGGGGGCCAATGAAGTGGTTTCCTCTTGAGCATCGCTTACCTGGACCCCGGCAACCTCGAGAGTGATTTGCAGGTGAGAGGGCAAGTGAGGGGGGCCAATGAAGTGGTTTCCTCTTGAGCATCGCTTACCTGGACCCCGGCAACCTCGAGAGTGATTTGCAGGTGAGAGGGCAAGTGAGGGGGGCCAATGAAGTGGTTTCCTCTTGAGCATCGCTTACCTGGACCCCGGCAACCTCGAGAGTGATTTGCAGGTGAGAGGGCAAGTGAGGGGGGCCAATGAAGTGGTTTCCTCTTGAGCATCGCTTACCTGGACCCCGGCAACCTCGAGAGTGATTTGCAGGTGAGAGGGCAAGTGAGGGGGGCCAATGAAGTGGTTTCCTCTTGAGCATCGCTTACCTGGACCCCGGCAACCTCGAGAGTGATTTGCAGGTGAGAGGGCAAGTGAGGGGGGCCAATGAAGTGGTTTCCTCATGAGCATCGCTTACCTGGACCCCGGCAACCTCGAGAGTGATTTGCAGGTGAGAGGGCAAGTGAGGGGGGCCAATGAAGTGGTTTCCTCTTGAGCATCGCTTACCTGGACCCCGGCAACCTCGAGAGTGATTTGCAGGTGAGAGGGCAAGTGAGGGGGGCCAATGAAGTGGTTTCCTCTTGAGCATCGCTTACCTGGACCCCGGCAACCTCGAGAGTGATTTGCAGGTGAGAGGGCAAGTGAGGGGGGCCAATGAAGTGGTTTCCTCTTGAGCATCGCTTACCTGGACCCCGGCAACCTCGAGAGTGATTTGCAGGTGAGAGGGCAAGTGAGGGGGGCCAATGAAGTGGTTTCCTCTTGAGCATCGCTTACCTGGACCCCGGCAACCTCGAGAGTGATTTGCAGGTGAGAGGGCAAGTGAGGGGGGCCAATGAAGTGGTTTCCTCTTGAGCATCGCTTACCAGGACCCCGGCAACCTCGAGAGTGATTTGCAGGTGAGAGGGCAAGTGAGGGGGGCCAATGAAGTGGTTTCCTCTTGAGCATCGCTTACCTGGACCCCGGCAACCTCGAGAGTGATTTGCAGGTGAGCGCTTGCTTGCCGTGTTCCCATGGGGCTGGGTGCATGGATGGATGGGGGTGCAGTGTGAGGGGGGCAGATGGAGTTGCTTCCTCATGAGCATCGCGTATCTGGACCTGGAAATTGTTGTGACTGATAAGCTTCCTGCACCTGTTTTCTTTCTGCCCACCGCCTTTGCAATGTGCACATGCGTGTGTGCTGCGTGGCAGGCAGGCGCACAGACAGGGTATGCGCTGCTCTGGATTCTCTTCTGGTCCACTGCACTCGGCCTGCTGCTGCAGGTGAGCGTGGGTGGGTGGGTCTGCTGCTGCAGATGCATCTCGGCTGGTTATTGGGCCATGCCAAGTGGTTATTGGGCCATGCCAAGTGGTTATTGGGCCATGCCAAGTTGTTGTTGCCTTACGCACACTCCCGGCCCCCAGCTTCTCCTCTTGCCTGTTTGCATCTGTTCGCTCTCCTCATATGTGACCCTGGTTTAGCCTGAGTGCATCTGATTCCACCGGACATCTCGTGCTGGAAGGTAGTAAAAAAGCACCACACAACATTATCGAGGGTATTTTTGAGACGTCTCAAAAATACTCTCGCTTCACGTGGCACCCGCACAACATTATCGAGACGAGACGTCTTTTGAGGCGCCTCAAAATACACCTCATTGCTTTCTGCCGGACATCTCGTGCTGGAAGGTAGTAAAGAGAGCACCGCACAACATTATCGAGACGAGACGTCTCAAAATCTGTTTCCGCCGGACATCGCATGCCGGAACAGGTAGAGAGGGGGGGCACCACACAACATTTTCTTCATTTCCTCTGCACCACGCACTTTTCAGAAACGTCTGAAACGATCCACACACTCCTCACGATCCACACACTCCTCACGATCCACACACTCCTCACGATCCACACACTTCTCACGATCCACACACTCCTCACGATCCACACACTCCTCACGATCCACACACTCCTCACGATCCACACACTCCTCACAATCCACACACTCCTCACGATCCACACACTCCTCACGATCCACACACTCCTCACGATCCACACACTCCTCACGATCCACACACTCCTCACTGACCCTCCGTATTCCCTATCCACTCTCCCCTATGACTGTGTCACCGCCCATGCTTCAGGCCATAGCAGCGTGGGTAGGCGTGGTGACAGGGTTCCATCTAGCAGAGCTATGTCGCATCGCATGGAATACTCGTGTAAAAAGGGTATTTTTGAGACGTCTCAAAAATACCCTTTTTACGCAGAGCTATGTCGCATCGCATGGAATTCTGTTTCCCCAGGCGCACCGTGCCTCCTTCTAACCCCTCTCTCCACGTGCTTCCCCTTCCCTCTCCCCATCCCCCTTCCACCAACCCACAACCCACCCAGGCCATAGCAGCGCGAGTGGGCGTGGTGACGGGGTGCCATCTAGCGGAGCTGTGCCGCATGGAGTACTCACCCCCCGTGCGCTGGGTGCTGTGGGGGATGACGGAGGTCGCTATAGTGGGGGCGGACATTCAGGAAGTGATAGGCTGCGCCATCGCGCTGCGCATCCTCAGCAGGGGGGCTATTCCCATCTGGGCGGGGGTGCTGATTACAGGGCTGGACAGGTGCGTTTGCGGTTTGGTTCGGGTGAAGCACACGCCTGCTGTGCTGTGGGGCATGACGGAGGTGGCCATTGTGGGCGCGGACATTCAGGAGGTCATTGGCTGCGCCATCGCCCTGTGCATCCTCAGTAGAGGCGCCGTCCCCACCTGGACAGGTGCGGTCGGTCCTCGCAGGGAGTAGAGTAGTGGGTTGGGTTGGAGAGGCTTGGATCTGGTCACACCGTGACTGTCGCTAATCCCCGTCCCTCCTTCCTCCTCACCCGGCCCCTCCCCGCCTCCCCTTGCTTCCTCCTCCCCTTCCTGGGGAAGTTTGTTCACAACACAGCGCGCCGTTTGGTCTCTTCATCGCAGTCTCGCCATTCCGCTACAAAGCAGTCTCGCCATTCCGCTACAAAGCAGTCTCGCCATTCCGCTACAAAGCAGTCTCGCCATTCCGCTACAAAGCAGTCTCGCCATTCCGCTACAAAGCAGTCTCGCCATTCCGCTACAAAGCAGTCTCGCCATTCCGCTACAAAGCAGTCTCGCCATTCCGCTACAAAGCAGTCTCGCCATTCCGCTACAAAGCAGTCTCGCCATTCCGCTACAAAGCAGTCTCGCCATTCCGCTACAAAGCAGTCTCGCCATTCCGCTACAAAGCAGTCTCGCCATTCCGCTACAAAGCAGTCTCGCCATTCCGCTACAAAGCAGTCTCGCCATTCCGCTACAAAGCAGTCTCGCCATTCCGCTACAAAGCAGTCTCGCCATTCCGCTACAAAGCAGTCTCGCCATTCCGCTACAAAGCAGTCTCGCCATTCCGCTACAAAGCAGTCTCGCCATTCCGCTACAAAGCAGTCTCGCCATTCCGCTACAAAGCAGTCTCGCCATTCCGCTACAAAGCAGTCTCGCCATTCCGCTACAAAGCAGTCTCGCCATTCCGCTACAAAGCAGTCTCGCCATTCCGCTACAAAGCAGTCTCGCCATTCCGCTACAAAGCAGTCTCGCCATTCCGCTACAAAGCAGTCTCGCCATTCCGCTACAAAGCAGTCTCGCCATTCCGCTACAAAGCAGTCTCGCCATTCCGCTACAAAGCAGTCTCGCCATTCCGCTACAAAGCAGTCTCGCCATTCCGCTACAAAGCAGTCTCGCCATTCCGCTACAAAGCAGTCTCGCCATTCCGCTACAAAGCAGTCTCGCCATTCCGTTACAAAGCAGTCTCGCCATTCCGCTACAAAGCAGTCTCGCCATTCCGCTACGAAGCAGTCTCGCCATTCCGCTACGAAGCAGTCTCGCCATTCCGCTACGAAGCAGTCTCGCCATTCCGCTACGAAGCAGTCTCGCCATTCCGCTACGAAGCAGTCTCGCCATTCCGCTACGAAGCAGTCTCGCCATTCCGCTACGAAGCAGTCTCGCCATTCCGCTACGAAGCAGTCTCGCCATTCCGCTACGAAGCAGTCTCGCCATTCCGCTACAAAGCAGTCTCGCCATTCCGCTACAAAGCAGTCTCGCCATTCCGCTACAAAGCAGTCTCGCCATTCCGCTACAAAGCAGTCTCGCCATTCCGCTACAAAGCAGTCTCGCCATTCCGCTACAAAGCAGTCTCGCCATTCCGCTACAAAGCAGTCTCGCCATTCCGCTACAAAGCAGTCTCGCCATTCCGCTACAAAGCAGTCTCGCCATTCCGCTACAAAGCAGTCTCGCCATTCCGCTACAAAGCAGTCTCGCCATTCCGCTACAAAGCAGTCTCGCCATTCCGCTACAAAGCAGTCTCGCCATTCCGCTACAAAGCAGTCTCGCCATTCCGCTACAAAGCAGTCTCGCCATTCCGCTACAAAGCAGTCTCGCCATTCCGTTACAAAGCAGTCTCGCCATTCCGCTACAAAGCAGTCTCGCCATTCCGCTACAAAGCAGTCTCGCCATTCCGCTACAAAGCAGTCTCGCCATTCCGCTACAAAGCAGTCTCGCCATTCCGCTACAAAGCAGTCTCGCCATTCCGCTACAAAGCAGTCTCGCCATTCCGCTACAAAGCAGTCTCGCCATTCCGCTACAAAGCAGTCTCGCCATTCCGCTACAAAGCAGTCTCGCCATTCCGCTACAAAGCAGTCTCGCCATTCCGCTACAAAGCAGTCTCGCCATTCCGCTACAAAGCAGTCTCGCCATTCCGCTACAAAGCAGTCTCGCCATTCCGCTACAAAGCAGTCTTGCCATTCCGCTACAAAGCAGTCTCGCCATTCCGCTACAAAGCAGTCTCGCCATTCCGCTACAAAGCAGTCTCGCCATTCCGCTACAAAGCAGTCTCGCCATTCCGCTACAAAGCAGTCTCGCCATTCCGCTACAAAGCAGTCTCGCCATTCCGCTACGAAGCAGTCTCGCCATTCCGCTACGAAGCAGTCTCGCCATTCCGCTACAAAGCAGTCTCGCCATTCCGCTACAAAGCAGTCTCGCCATTCCGCTACAAAGCAGTCTCGCCATTCCGCTACAAAGCAGTCTCGCCATTCCGCTACAAAGCAGTCTCGCCATTCCGCTACAAAGCAGTCTCGCCATTCCGCTACAAAGCAGTCTCGCCATTCCGCTACAAAGCAGTCTCGCCATTCCGCTACAAAGCAGTCTCGCAATTCCGCTACAAAGCAGTCTCGCCATTCCGCTACAAAGCAGTCTCGCCATTCCGCTACAAAGCAATCTCGCCATTCCGCTACAAAGCAGTCTCGCCATTCCGCTACAAAGCAGTCTCGCCATTCCGCTACAAAGCAGTCTCGCCATTCCGCTACAAAGCAGTCTCGCCATTCCGCTACAAAGCAGTCTCGCCATTCCGCTACAAAGCAGTCTCGCCATTCCGCTACAAAGCAGTCTCGCCATTCCGCTACAAAGCAGTCTCGCCATTCCGCTACAAAGCAGTCTCGCCATTCCGCTACAAAGCAGTCTCGCCATTCCGCTACAAAGCAGTCTCGCCATTCCGCTACAAAGCAGTCTCGCCATTCCGCTACAAAGCAGTCTCGCCATTCCGCTACAAAGCAGTCTCGCCATTCCGCTACAAAGCAGTCTCGCCATTCCGCTACAAAGCAGTCTCGCCATTCCGCTACAAAGCAGTCTCGCCATTCCGCTACAAAGCAGTCTCGCCATTCCGCTACAAAGCAGTCTCGCCATTCCGCTACAAAGCAGTCTCGCCATTCCGCTACAAAGCAGTCTCGCCATTCCGCTACAAAGCAGTCTCGCCATTCCGCTACAAAGCAGTCTCGCCATTCCGCTACAAAGCAGTCTCGCCATTCCGCTACAAAGCAGTCTCGCCATTCCGCTACAAAGCAGTCTCGCCATTCCGCTACAAAGCAGTCTCGCCATTCCGCTACAAAGCAGTCTCGCCATTCCGCTACAAAGCAGTCTCGCCATTCCGCTACAAAGCAGTCTCGCCATTCCGCTACAAAGCAGTCTCGCCATTCCGCTACAAAGCAGTCTCGCCATTCCGCTACAAAGCAGTCTCGCCATTCCGCTACAAAGCAGTCTCGCCATTCCGCTACAAAGCAGTCTCGCCATTCCGCTACAAAGCAGTCTCGCCATTCCGCTACAAAGCAGTCTCGCCATTCCGCTACAAAGCAGTCTCGCCATTCCGCTACAAAGCAGTCTCGCCATTCCGCTACAAAGCAGTCTCGCCATTCCGCTACAAAGCAGTCTCGCCATTCCGCTACAAAGCAGTCTCGCCATTCCGCTACAAAGCAGTCTCGCCATTCCGCTACAAAGCAGTCTCGCCATTCCGCTACAAAGCAGTCTCGCCATTCCGCCAGTCTCGCCATTCCGCTACAAAGCAGTCTCGCCATTCCGCTACAAAGCAGTCTCGCCATTCCGCTACAAAGCAGTCTCGCCATTCCGCTACAAAGCAGTCTCGCCATTCCGCTACAAAGCAGTCTCGCCATTCCGCTACAAAGCAGTCTCGCCATTCCGCTACAAAGCAGTCTCGCCATTCCGCTACAAAGCAGTCTCGCCATTCCGCTACAAAGCAGTCTCGCCATTCCGCTACAAAGCAGTCTCGCCATTCCGCTACAAAGCAGTCTCGCCATTCCGCTACAAAGCAGTCTCGCCATTCCGCTACAAAGCAGTCTCGCCATTCCGCTACAAAGCAGTCTCGCCATTCCGCTACAAAGCAGTCTCGCCATTCCGCTACAAAGCAGTCTCGCCATTCCGCTACAAAGCAGTCTCGCCATTCCGCTACAAAGCAGTCTCGCCATTCCGCTACAAAGCAGTCTCGCCATTCCGCTACAAAGCAGTCTCGCCATTCCGCTACAAAGCAGTCTCGCCATTCCGCTACAAAGCAGTCTCGCCATTCCGCTACAAAGCAGTCTCGCCATTCCGCTACAAAGCAGTCTCGCCATTCCGCTACAAAGCAGTCTCGCCATTCCGCTACAAAGCAGTCTCGCCATTCCGCTACAAAGCAGTCTCGCCATTCCGCTACAAAGCAGTCTCGCCATTCCGCTACAAAGCAGTCTCGCCATTCCGCTACAAAGCAGTCTCGCCATTCCGCTACAAAGCAGTCTCGCCATTCCGCTACAAAGCAGTCTCGCCATTCCGCTACAAAGCAGTCTCGCCATTCCGCTACAAAGCAGTCTCGCCATTCCGCTACAAAGCAGTCTCGCCATTCCGCTACAAAGCAGTCTCGCCATTCCGCTACAAAGCAGTCTCGCCATTCCGCTACAAAGCAGTCTCGCCATTCCGCTACAAAGCAGTCTCGCCATTCCGCTACAAAGCAGTCTCGCCATTCCGCTACAAAGCAGTCTCGCCATTCCGCTACAAAGCAGTCTCGCCATTCCGCTACAAAGCAGTCTCGCCATTCCGCTACAAAGCAGTCTCGCCATTCCGCTACAAAGCAGTCTCGCCATTCCGCTACAAAGCAGTCTCGCCATTCCGCTACAAAGCAGTCTCGCCATTCCGCTACAAAGCAGTCTCGCCATTCCGCTACAAAGCAGTCTCGCCATTCCGCTACAAAGCAGTCTCGCCATTCCGCTACAAAGCAGTCTCGCCATTCCGCTACAAAGCAGTCTCGCCATTCCGCTACAAAGCAGTCTCGCCATTCCGCTACAAAGCAGTCTCGCCATTCCGCTACAAAGCAGTCTCGCCATTCCGCTACAAAGCAGTCTCGCCATTCCGCTACAAAGCAGTCTCGCCATTCCGCTACAAAGCAGTCTCGCCATTCCGCTACAAAGCAGTCTCGCCATTCCGCTACAAAGCAGTCTCGCCATTCCGCTACAAAGCAGTCTCGCCATTCCGCTACAAAGCAGTCTCGCCATTCCGCTACAAAGCAGTCTCGCCATTCCGCTACAAAGCAGTCTCGCCATTCCGCTACAAAGCAGTCTCGCCATTCCGCTACAAAGCAGTCTCGCCATTCCGCTACAAAGCAGTCTCGCCATTCCGCTACAAAGCAGTCTCGCCATTCCGCTACAAAGCAGTCTCGCCATTCCGCTACAAAGCAGTCTCGCCATTCCGCTACAAAGCAGTCTCGCCATTCCGCTACAAAGCAGTCTCGCCATTCCGCTACAAAGCAGTCTCGCCATTCCGCTACAAAGCAGTCTCGCCATTCCGCTACAAAGCAGTCTCGCCATTCCGCTACAAAGCAATCTCGCCATTCCGCTACAAAGCAATCTCTTGCGCTGCCGTGCCTTGCCTTGCTGCCTCCCACCCCTCCCCACCTCTCCCCAGCTTTCTGCTACTCTTCCTGGAGAGCTGTGGCATTCGCAAGCTACAGGCGCTCTTTGGTCTCTTCATGCGCTGTCACGCCAGCCAGGAGCCTCAAACCACTCTCCTTCCCTTGCTTTGGCTCGCCTTGCCTTTGTTTAACCCCCCACCCCCCCCCCCCCCCCCCCCCCCCCCCTCCCTCTCTCTCCCCGTCCCCGGCCTTACGCCAGTTTCCTCCTCCTTTTCCTGGAGAGCTTTGGCATCCGCACGCTGGAGGCGCGCGCTCGTTGGTGTCTTTCATTGCTGTCATGCCAGGCGTCTCAGCCACTCTCCTTGCTCTCTCCTGCCTTGCCTTGCCCTGCATTGCCTTGCTACCCCCCCAGCTTCCTCCTCCTCTTCCTCGAGAACAGTGGCATTTGCAAGCTGGAAGCGCTCATTGGGCTCTTCATCGCTGTCAGTCATGCGAAGGCGCCTCGCCTCACACTCGCCTTGCTCTGCTCTGCCTTGCCTTGATGCCCTCCCTCGCCATCTCCCTCCCCAGCTTCCTTCTCCTCTTCCTCGAGAACTTTGGCATTCGCAAGCTGGAGGCGCTCTTCGGGCTCTTCATCGCTGTCATGGCTGCCTCCTTTGCCCGCATGTTCGTGGAAGCTGCGCCTGACGCGGGGGCCATTGCTCATGGTGGGTGGACCAACAAGCACGCGCATGCTTTCATGTGGGTGTGTTAATTCATGCCGCATGCTTTCATGTGGGTGTGTTAATTCATGCCGCATGCTTTCATGTGGGTGTGTTAATTCATGCCGCATGCTTTCATGTGGGTGTGTTAATTCATGCCGCATGCACATCTCATGCACACTCACATGCTGAATGCGTGTACATTAAGACTGCATACTTTGAAGGCATCTCTGTCATCACTCTCACACCACATCACATCACATCACATCACATCACATCACATCACATCACATCACACCACATCACATCACATCACATCACACCACACCACATCACATCACATCACATCACATCGCATCGCATCGCATCGCATCGCATCGCATCGCATCACATCACATCACATCACATCACATCACCCCTTTTGCGTACCCAACCTCCTCCTATGCAGGCTTGCTCGTCCCCTCCATCCCTCAGGGAGCAACGAGCATGGCAGTGAGCAAACTAGACAGGGTCATCATGTCTCTCATGCCCCACCACGCCTGTACACATACCCATGCACCCGCATGCAGGCTTGCGCATCCACTCCATCCCTAGAGGAGCCCCTTTTCCCCCCTTTCCCTCACTGTTTCTTCCCATCCCCGCCCATGCCCCAGCCCCGCTGTTGTCCTAGTGCCCTCTATCCCTCACGGAGCCACCAGCATGGCAGTGAGCATACTAGGTGCAGTCATCAAGCCGCACAACATTTTCCTGCAACGTTGTCCCTATCTTCCTCTCATTCCAAACCCCAATGCATGCAGGCCTTCTCGTCCCTTCCATACCCCGCGGGGCAACGAGCATGGCAGTGAGCATACTAGGCGCAGTCATCATGCCGCACAACATCTTCCTCCACTCCGCCCTCGTGCAATCGCGCGCTATCAACCGCCACTCCCCACCGCGAGTGGCAGAGGCGCTGCTCTACTTCACGCTCGAGTCCGCCCTCGCCCTGCTGCTCTCCTTCCTCGTCAACCTCTGCGTCGTCTCCGTCTTTGCCCGCCTCTTCTACGGCCAACCGGGGGCAGTGGATATTGGGCTGGATAACGCTGCTGAGTATCTGCAGGTATGTGCGTGCGTGCGTGCGTGCGTGTGGGCGTGCGGGCGGGGACCATGTGAGGCTCTCCACGTGTACCCAGGGCGCACTCAACTTTGGCCGCGATAACGCTGCTGGGAACCTGCAGGTACGTGTGGGTGGCCTTTGAGACGCTCAAAATGGTGGAGACACTTGAGGCGTCTCAGAAGTGCCCAGGAGAGGGGCTTCCTCTGCCCAGGAGAGGGGCGTCCTCTGCCCAGGAGAGGGGCGTCCTCTGCCCAGGAGAGGGGCGTCCTCTGCCCTCCCCCATCACTCTTTTCCCCTCTCCATTTCCCCTCTCCATTTCCCCTCTCCATTTCCCCTCTCCATTTCCCCCCTCTCTTTTCGTCTTTCAATAGAGCACCAATTAGGTGCCATGGTTTCAGTACGTGGCAGTAACTGTTAGGTAAGACACCTTGCAAGTTGTTTTGTGTGCTTTCCCCCCTCTCTTTTCCTCTTTCCCCCCTCACACCACCCTGCCCTCCCAGCAAGCCTTCGGCTCAACGACCTTCCCAGTGGTGTTCATCTAAGCGACCTGCCCACCCCTGCCCACCCCTGCCCACCCCTGCCCACCCCTGCCCACCCTTGCCCGCCCTTGCACATTGCTGCCCTTGCAGCAAGCGTTCGGCTCAACCACCTTCCCAGTGGTGTTCATTTGGGCGGCCGGGCTGCTAGCAGCGGGGCAGTCATCAACCATGACAGGCACATACACGGGGCAGTTCGTCATGTCGGGCTTTCTCGACCTGCATGTGCGCAAGTGGGTGCGCGTGCTTGTCACCCGCACCGTCGCCATCGTGCCCACCATCGTCGTCGCCCTGCTCTACACCTCGCCGGCTTCTCACACACCACACTCACCACCGCAGCTGTCACCACCCATGGCAGCACTGGCTGTGCAAGTGACAGGGGGAGCGGGTACAGTAGAAGGGGCAGCAGCAGCAGCAGCAGCAGCAGCAGCAGCAGCAGCAGGCGGATTGCTCAACGAAGCGTTTTTCACTCCGTCTCCCTTTCCAACCTCCTCCATGCCCTTCCCTCTCACCAACACCTCCCTTCCTGCCCCCTCTTTCTCCTCCTCACCTGTCTCATCTAGCCCGTCATCACTGCAACTTTCAACCTCGCAGCACACCCCACTCTCCACCTCACTACCCTCCGCACCGCACATGCTATCACTCTCGTCGTTGGACGTGCTGAACCAGTGGCTCAACGTGCTGCAGTCCGTGCAGCTGCCCTTTGCTGTCATCCCCCTGCTAGCCATTGCATCGTCAACACACGTGATGGGAAGATATGCCATCAAGGGAGCAGTGAAGGTGAGCGTTATTTGCTGTTAGTGCAGTGCAGTGCAGCTGCTGTTGCTGCTGCTGCTGCTGCTGCTAGTTTTGAGGCGCCTCAAAACTATTCGCTGCTGGTGCAGTGCAGTGCAGCTGCTACTGCTGCTGTGTTGCCAAGGTGAGATCACTGGGCGTGCAGCAGTCCGTGCAGCAGTCAGTCCGTGCAGCAGTCCGTGCAGCAGTCAGTCCGTGCAGCAGTCCGTGCAGCAGTCTGTGCAGCAGTCCGTGCAGCAGTCCGTGCAGCAGTCCGTGCAGCAGTCCGTGCAGCAGTCCGTGCAGCTGCCCTTTGCAGTCATCCCCCCCCTCGCCATCGCTTCGTCAACACACGTCATGGGCCGATATGCCATCAAGGGGGCCGTCAAGGTAAGGTGTGAGTGAATGTAAGTGAGTGAGTGTGAGTGAGAGCGTGTAGTGTGAGTGAGTGTGAGTGTGAGTGAGTGTGAGTGTGAGTGAGTGTGAGTGTGAGTGAGTGTGAGTAAGTGGGAGTGAGGGTGAGTATGAGTACGTGGCGGTCCGTGCGGCTGCACGATTACCGTCAACCTCTACGGCCCTCTTCTCTCTTCACCACATCCTTTCTTTCTTTAAACATCTGGACTTCTCTCTAGCCTGGGCTTCAGCAGCCCATTTGATCATCATGTACCAATCTCTCCATATGTCTCCATATGCCTCTCTTCCTACTCTTGTTCCCCACTGCAGGTGCTAGCGTGGGCATCAGCAGCGCTGGTAATCACTATCAACCTCTACCTCCTCTTTGACTTCGCCACAACCAACTTCCCTCACTCGCTCTCAACATTCCTCCTCCTCCTCCTCCTCTCCCTCCCCTACCTCCTCTTCCTCATCCACCTCGCCCTGCACCCCCGGAGCGAGGGCTCCGAGTTCAACCATCCGCACCGCTCTCGATCGCACAGAACCTGCAGCAACGAACACTGCCATCTCTTCAGTCCCACTGGGGTTGATCAATCGGATTGTGTAACTTGTTCTGGTGCTCCTGATGCTACCAGTGCTCCTGATGCTACCGGTGCTCCTGATGCTACCGGTGCTACTGGTTCTGTTGGTTCTGGTCAAATAAATGAGAGTGTAGGTGGCTCAGTTTATAGTTGTCGCAACAGCAGCAGCAGCAGCAGCAGCAGCAGAGGGACAATCCTCCCACTTCCTCCAGGTGGACGTGCGGGGGCGGGAACTGGGCTACGCACGCCTTTGCTGGAGGAGAAGCTGGACGAATAGCTCTTTTCCAGTAGGAAAGTGGAGCGGGTAACGAGTTGCAAGAGATATTTTTTAGTTTGTTAGGCATGCACAGGAGTGTACACAGCGTATACGTCCAGTACAAGGCTTGATTTGCATTTTATTATCCCTGTACCTTTCGCACAAGTGACAGGCAGGTTCCTAGCTTCCACATGACCCAGGCCTGTGTATAACCCATGCACAATTGCAGGAGGCAAATGATACCGTAGACGGCTGCTCACCATGATTGTTGCGTGGCTAATATTTACGCAATCAGGTACCCCCCGCATTTGCCATAAATTACCATACGTGCCATGTGCGGTATGCCGTTCCATGGCAAATTCAATGCATAGTTCACACTACTGCCGTGCTCTATGTAGACTTCGTAGTTGAAAATGTGAGCTGCAAATGTGATGTGCCTAGGGTACTGTAAACCCCCATAACACCCACCCAGGCAAAGACTATATGGTAGCTTATGTTCCCCGGGGGGGCATCTTGCAAGTGGTACTATGATACAACGAAGCCAGGCACGTAATACCTGGCCATAAACATATCACACCAGAATGAAAGAATAGGAAGTATTAACCACTTCTCCACAGTTAGCCCATACTCTATGTCAATCCCATACTGCTATCTGTCCGCGACTCCGTGAGTGTTGCAACGATCATAGAGCACCACTCGAGTATCTGCCAGCTGCTGCACTGCACCCAGTGTGATCCATCCACCCCCAACCACCCAGTGCGTGTGACCCCATGTCTCCAGCCAGCACTTATCCCTCACGGACGCATCGCATCAGCCCAAGCTTTATTTCTCCACAGTCCATGCCCATCGCCACCCCACCTTCTCCCTTCCGAACCCATCCCATCCGCACCGCTCTCAAGGAGTACTACTCCATCTCGTATTGTCTTGGATGTGCTTCGTGCCCATTCGCTGCACCAGCGCATACGTGTCGGGCTCCGGTTGGTTGAAATTGCTGTAGTAAAACACGTCCAGCACTCTCCGCGGCCCCACCTTCCCCCTCGAGCAGCTCTTGAACTTGGGCTTCTTGACAACCAATGGGGAGGTCGCCGTCACCGCCAGGTCATCATTCGCAAAGCTCGCGAAACCAAGCGAGTTACCATCTGTAACGTTTGTCACCTTCCAGTAGTTGAACTTGGCTACAGTGGTGAGGTTCTCGCAGTACTTGAACCAAGTATTGCGCTTGTTGTTAATGATTACGAGGTCGAGGAAATTGTCGGAGGGCAGGCCGCTGCATGACCCCGTTTGGGCGGCGGAGAGAGTGTTGGCGGTGTTGCAGGGGTTGCCGCTGATGGTCTGATCGAGACAGATGTCCTTCATCCACGGCCAGAGCTGGAATACAAGGGAAGCGAGGGAAGCAGCCGGGAGGAAAAGAGTCAGTAATCCCATAGGGCAACTCTTGCTCAGGGCGGCAAAGGTGTATCCATCCCACTCTTGTACTCGTCACTGAACCCAAACTGGTGACTCGTTATAAGCACACCAGCAGTGCAACTCACATTGTTCCAGAGCGGCGTGTCGTAGTACTTGCGGCGCATGGACTCCCAGTAGGTGCCCGGGCGGATGGCGCAGTTGTTGAGTGTGGGCGTGAGGCATGTGAACCACCCTGTCATGCCCGTCACATTCTTCATAATCACATCCTCCACAAAGTTCCTGCAAGAGGCAAGAGCCAACAGGGAGACAAAGGGGAAGAAATGGTGAGGACGGGGATTCTATGATGGTTTATGAGGCGCCTTCTAAAGTTAAGGAAGGAGATCGTGAAGAAATGGGACGAAACAAGTGTAATTTGTGTTGGGCTCATGAATGAAACAAGTTTGGGGGTCATACAGATGGAATTCGCCTAGAGAATGCCGACTCACCATTTCCCGTTGTTGACTTTGATGCCATCGTAAGTCCCGATGCACGCACCGCCGCGCACTGTGATTCCTGACGAAACATAATCCAAGTAGTAACAGTGGTCCCCGTTATAAATATAGTTACACTCCGCTACATTCCCGGGGTTGAACCAATGTGTACAGTAATAAATCCCCGCCGCGTCTTGGTCGCCGCTCATGTTTCGCGCGGTCGCCACAACCAGGTTGTTTGAAATCGTCGACAGCATGCAATCGCCCTGCAGGCTGACGTCAGCGCCGCAACGAATCCCCGCGAAAAGGTAATCGTGCACGTAATTGTTTCGCACGGTTACCCCCACCGCCCCGCGGTAGATCACAATACCCGTGTGTACACCTGCAAAATCGGAAACGGGTTTGGTAGAAAGAGAGAATTGATTAGTGGGGTTCATTGAACAGAGGACTCGGAGATGAGGCGGATGAAATGATGAGAGGAAGAAGATGAGGGCGGTTGGGAGGGTGATAGTGGTGGGTAGGGCGGGGGGTTTGGTGGGAGGGAGTGGACGGGGTTGGGAGTGTGAGAGAGGTAGGGGGGGGGGGGGGGGGGGGGGGGTGTGTCGAAACCCTGTCGGAATGTGTGCTGCGGGGAGGGAGGCGAGGCGGGGAAGTCTAGGAGGCGACGTTAGGCGAGGCGAGGGCTCACCGTAGACTTCGTTATTCGTGATGGCGATATACGACGGCTCCAGCGTCGGCCCGTACCCGCAGTACGCCACGCGAATCACGCCGTTATTCAAGTCGAAATCCGAGACGCCCGTCACCTTCATGCTGTCGATGCGCGACACGACGCTGCGGAACACGTCGATGCGCCCGAACAGAGTTCCCTTCACCACCTGCACGTGATGGCAGCCGTAGATCGACACCGTCGGGCAGATGATCCCCGCGCCGATGCTCGGAATGTTCGCGCAAGGAGCCGACGCGGCCGTGTACGGCTGTTGGAAGCTGATCCCGTGCACGAGCACGTTGCTCGTGTTCCAGATGCGCAGCAGCGGCTCGTCCGTGCTCGCGAGCGAGAGCGTCGCGCCGTTGGGCGGCGCGCGCGCGGAGCGCAGGATGGTGCAGGCGTAGGAGGCGTTAAAGAGCAGCCCGCGCGTTAAGGCGAGGTCGGACTGGAGCTCCAGGATGACTGTGGATCGCGGGGAGTACTGCAGCCGCAGCGCGAAGTCGTCTTCGGTGAACACGGCGATCTTGACCGCCGTGAGAAGCGGGGAGCAGGGCTGAGGCGTCTCGGTGGCGACTGGAGCGGGTGGGGACGGGGAGCGGGGTGGGGAGGGGGGTGGGGAATGGGGATGGTGGGGAAGGAGTTTGAGCGAGGGGCCAAAGCTTAACTGCTAAGTGTGGGGAAGACAGTCAGGGGAAACGAATACCGCGGAGGGTTCTCGAGGAGGAATGGAAAGAATTGGAGCAATGGGGCGGAGGGAAAGGGGAAACGGAAGAACGAGGGGAAGCTTGGGGAATGGGGAGAGCGTGGGTGAAAGTGATACTGTTTTGAGCGGATGCATGACTAGGAGGCACACATTGAGACACCGTGTGGCGACACATTTGCGTATCGTTGCGACGACTCGCGGAGAGGGAGCAGGAGCGAGGCTAGGGGGGAATGGTTGCAACATTCAGTCGACTGATCAAGGGGAACTCAACCAAAGAAAGATGATACTAGAAAGGCGCGGCGTTTGCGTCGAGAGGAAGTGCGTACCAGCATTGCTTGTCGAGTACACTGCCATGCTGCTGCTGGCGAGAGATAATGTCGACGTTGTCGTCGTGCTGGTGGTGTCCAATAACGAGTACCGATGCGGGAGCGAGCCATTCTCCCCTCTTGTTCCGTCACTGTTGCTGCTCCCATTGCTGTCTCCGCAAATGCCGCCAACCTTGCCATTGCCTTCCCCGGGGAACTCCGCGCCTCGGGGAAGTCTGGCGCTGCTACGCAGCTCTGTGTGCCGGCCATTTTGCCATTCGTCAGTTCCGACAATTTGGCCGTCTATTTGGCCGTCAAGCACAACAGAGTGTCCCTCCTCCTGTCCCCTTTTTCCTCCACCCGACCGTTGTTGGAAAAGGTCGGCGAGTAGGGGCAAAAGATGATGGCGCCGCGGCAGGCTGCGACTAAGGCTAACTGAGTAGCTATGGCCGCTCACGCGCGCGCGCGCACAGAAGAAGAGGGTTAGAAGCAACAGTTGAAGACTTGCGCGAGCGAGAAAGTCAGGTCGCAAGCGTGAGGTGCGTGTCTGAAGCATGTTGGCTGATGTATTGGTGGTGGATTTGAGCGGGCTTTATGTCAGAATGGTGAAACGCTTAGGAGATGCTACTACGTCGAGTTGATTAGGAGATGCAAGAACAAGAAATCGTTATCAGCTCGGCGTTGAAGAAGTGCAGTGAATTCGTCCAGCCAGCCTGTGTACGTGTAGTTATTGAAGATTGAGGGCTGGTCCTCGTGAGCGTGTGGTGTGGTGTTTATGTTATCGTGCAGCTTGCCTTCAATCAGCACAACACCACAGATAGCTGCTGCTCTCAGATCGCCATCTCAAAAGTCAGGGGCACAAGCCACCAAGCCACCAAGAGTCAGGAGTCAGTAGGCTGGAACGGGATGGGATGGAATTCGTGGATGCTGAGTCCCTCTGCATTGGGTGAATGCCCCTTGT